TGTATCAGTCCTGTTTTCCATGTGGGAACAGCGTTTACACTGGAATCTGCTTTTGATGGCTTTTTTGGAGCAAATGTGACATTCAGCAGTATAACTGACACACAATACAAAACAATAACTACACTACACACTAACTCTAGCCTCCAAACACGCTAAACGTCACTAATGTCTCACATATGAAAACTTGCGCTCTCTTTCTTTTGCTCGCCCGCTTTCCGTCACGGGTGTCACTCCTAAAACTGCCCCTTCTCCCTAAACAACCAAGTGCCGCATGTTGCCATATCATTGTTTTGATTGGCTGACATGGTAAATTCTAACACCAATCCGGTTGTTCAGTCTGACGTCACTAGCCGTGTCTGGACCTAAACTCCGCTGCAGGTCCATATATCAAACGATCACTATGGCATTACTGAGAGTTGAAAAACTGTCTAAAGTCTTTCATCTTTAATAAAATGATCAGCGTTCTGCTCTACCAGGTGTAACAATTGAGTTTAACATCCAGGCATCCATGAAAACGGAATTTATGACATTTAACGGAGTTAGAAGTTAGCAGGGAGTTAGCTCGCTAGCTTCTATCTAAATACAATATAGCATGTCCTGACTGCGGGGTTTTGGAAACAAATTAAAACGTACAGCTCTGTTATCACTTCCAGCATAAATGAAGACAGAAAACTAAACAGCAGTGACGTTTGTAGGGTTACTGAAGTTGGGCTAGCTGGTATATAATGATGTGCTACGTGACCGCTAGCGACACAGCTATGTTAGCATAATATAAACAAGCTAACTTTTTTTCCACTCGATAAAAGTTAACGTGAGTGTTCTCGGTGGAGGACTCCACCACCCCGTTCACACAGAAACTAAACCACATTTTATTGGCTAAATATGACTTGAACAAATTAAACATGGCAGCGGGGGCCCCCGAAATTAATTAATTAATTATTTATTTTAAAAAGCGGCGGGGGGTTTGCCATGAGCGAGCTAGCTTATTTTGTCGGGTTTCTTTCGTTCGGTGGTATGGCGAACACCCGGCCCCTACATGAAATACACGTAGGGGGTGTCGCGGAGGCTTGTCAGACATGAGCGCGCCTGTTTGGTAGGGATGCTTGTCGGATTTTCATTGTTTTGTGACATGGCGATTTTTATACTAAAACTTTAAAGCACTATTTTATGATGGAAAACATTCAAGTTGCTCACGAGGGCATTCAAGCAGCACGATTGAGTAAAACAGTCTAGGGGGGAGCTTAAATGAGGTAGTAAACACATATAAATGCACATTAAAAGAAACAGTACTTGCCTTCAGAAAGTTGACATGAACATCTTAGCTGCATCCAGCTCCTGGCGTAAAAAGCCTCGTGTTCGCATTAAGGCAGACGGCCAGGTGGCTTTCAGTCCTTGCAAATGTGCAAAGTAGACCCCGTAGTATCCAAAAATATGACATGCGCATGCGTGCTCAGGCACAGAAAGGCGCCAACAGCTTCAACTCATGTAAAACTTGAATTCATTCATTTTGCCAGCAATAAATTTCATCTGAGACCAACTTTTGCTCCAAAACGTTAAAGGATTAGTTGAAACCCTTAATGTATTTGAGTTTATGGGGCAACTCAGCTTTTATTGTTGAATTGTGAAAGAAATGACTGTAAGCAAGTTTGATTTTTTACAGTGAATGAGTGTGCTGACACTAATGCCAGATGATGATTTTTTCTCCACTATTGGAAATATATTACTTTTAAATTCTTCTAAAAGTGTTTGAGAAATGGCTTTAGTTTGTTCGTCCTCGTCATCCTCGGCTCTAACGCACCACGAGAAGAACCTTGCCAGTAGGCTTTTTTTACGGAAGAGGTGATCTTCAAATATGGAAATGATCACCTCTAGGTACGGCTGACCTACGGCTAGTGCAATGATCACAACATCCAAAGTCGTATTAAAACAATTTTTGACAGATTTTTGAGCACCGTGTAGTTTATAAAATATGTTCCAGGTCAATAAGCACAACCAGAATTCATACATAAGGCGCACTGTCAGTTTTTGAGAAAATTAAAGGATTTTGAGTGCGCCTTATAGGTCTGAAAATTACAGTACAATATCCTGTCACATTTGATCTCTGTGAGGTCAGAGGTCAAATTTACAAATGTAATACCTCTTAGTCTGTGACCTACTCCTACATAAGCTTTGTGTAATCAGAGTAAAACGTCTGTGCAATGTTTTAATACAATAGTTGCTACTAAAATCTTTGATTTTGAAAAGAATGACAAACAAACACGTTCAGTCTAAGCTGAAAATGTATACATTTGTGTGACAATGAAAACACGCAGAATTCACAATATAATCTTTTTTGGATCTTTTTATTGATTAAAAATACATTTAGAGTGCCCAATACGATAAGTTGTGTATTAGATGGCACAAAACAAAACCCCAATAATTTGACAATTGCCTCTGAGCAAGCACTAGGCGACGGTGGGGAGTAAAAACTTCCTTTTAACAGGGAGAAAACTCCGGCAGAACCAGGCTCAGTGAGGAACGGCCATCTGCCTCGACCGGTCAAGGGTTTTTAAAATGAACTCGATTAGATGTTAAATAAATTAAACTGAAAATGCTACGTCCAGATGAACAAATCTACTTTTAGGGACTTACACTAACATAACCAAGTATTTTCTGCCTGCGATCCATACAGCATGACCCCAGAGAGAAAGAACTTGTCGATGAAATGTTCACTTTCCAATACAGTGATGGCATGCTCCTTGAAAACCTTTACAATTACATCATCTGTATGTTTGTGGCCTAATTCCATGAATGTCAGTATGACATCTGGCTCTTTCCATTTCTCTATTAAAGAGCTGTAAACCATATCACTGAGGAATATCACATTGTCGATTTTGATTTTTTTAAGTCTAGGCCAGAGTTTTATGAACAGCCGTTGGGTGATGGCATCAACTTTTTCAGTACAGCAAGGTGAACTGGCATTGTTAATGACACGCGTCACCACCTTCTTGATAGAGGTTTCCACAGATAACCTGTAATTTTCAGCCTCTTCAGCTTCACACAGGGCTGGATTCTGCATAGTGTCGATCAGGTGATTTTTAATGATATCGACCGTCAGTTTTCTCAACACTGGGTCCTCGTCGTTCAGTAACATCAGTAAATGTTTTTCTTTACAGAATGTTTTCTGACGTAGCTCTTGGTAAATGGCCCTGTCGAGATCTTTCAGTTTTTTTTTATGTATATGAAGATCTTTGATCCTGTTGTCAGACAACACGTGTTTTAACAGGTACCTGTGGAGTTTTTTAGAAGGTTTGTAGTGCGAATTCTTCGCAGCCCGTGTGAGCACAGCATCAATGAGTGCGCTCACACATTCTTCTTCATCATCATCATAATCGCTGACAGTAATGCCAGATGATGATTTTTTCTCCACTATTGGAAATATATTACTTTTAAATTCTTCTAAAAGTGTTTGAGAAATGGCTTTAGTTTGTTCGTCCTCGTCATCCTCGGCTCTAACGCACCAGGAGAAGAACCTTGCCAGTAGGTTTTTACGGAAGAGGTGATCTTCAAATATGGAGATGATCACCTCTAGGTACGGCTGACCTACGGCTAGCGCAATGATCACGAGATCAGGGCTAATGTCCAGCCGCTTTGTGATGTCTTTAAAAATCACCTTTTCAAGTTTTTTAATCCCCCTTTGTGTGATTTTGAGAGGCTTTTGCTCAACTTGTGCCCACAGAGCTGTGAAGAGGCGCTGCTGAATCATGTCAGACGGCGACACCTTTGCCTCTTTGGAGGCACGTGTAACAACAGCATTTATTAGCTCTTTAACGAGCTCTTTGAACGAGCCAGCACTGACTCTGGATCCCCCGGATTCTGTTGCATGGTTGCATGACTGAGGGCAGCACAGCACAGTGCTTCGATTTCCCCTCGTCGCTCACGTAAAATGTTTACGCCAGGGACGACACTACATTCAGAGTCGTCTTCAGTGGCGCAGCTTTGAATCGCATCGGTCTGTTTCAATGGCAGAATTCATATTTTCATAATGAATATAACGTTTTTACAATCTGGACTGTTTTGTATGTGTAATGCTGAGTTTGTGTCTTAGACATTAATCTTCTTACTCCCTCTATACTAAACTTACCTTGTAACTAACCCTGTGCAAATGCATTCTATTTATAGAGCTTTTACCAAGGTGATGTCACACAAGACATGAAAGGATCAAAGGGATTCTAGCGCTAAGCCCCGCCCACATCCGATATGACGGCGACGTGACGTTACCTAGCGACCGCATACAATGGCGATCCTCAGTTGTTGGGATTGAGTGAAACTTGTTTGGATTCAAACATGTAGCCTGCTGGTCCACTGCTGTAACCCACAGCAAATACTGTTAAAATCCTTCCTTTAAAGTTAGAATGTCAAGCGACCCCCCCTCCGACCCTCACCCACTGTGTTGTTGTCGGGTTTACGGCTGGTAAGCTATGCTAATTTAACTGTTTATGTAGCTTCACTCATTCACCTGCAGACACAGACGGCTATCAGAATGGTCACACGTCTTCTTAGAGGACGTTCCAGGTGAACACGCGCGGTGAGTTACAGCCAGCGAGGAGTCACGCAGTTTTTGCGTGCATGTCTGTGCTCGTGGACATTTGTGAGCAGAAACACTTATTATTAAATTATGCACTTACACTCAGAGTTAGAAATGAAATATTTGTATTAGAGGGAAGGAGTATAACAAACTATAAATGAAGCTAATTTGCACATTTTATTCTGCTTTTCTAATCAAAAAATTGTTAATGCAAGAAAAATATCCAAATATTAACAGGAAAATCTCAAACCAAACTACCACCCCTCTGTAAAATCAATATTTAATATCAGTGACTTACATTAAGCACAGTTAAGTAATAAAATGAAAGAAAACAAGTGAGCACTACTGCATATAAACCCGACTAGATACATACACATATACACTTGTGCTAACAATTCAAGAAACATTTGGTATATTTTATATCCCCCCTCTGTCCTTGTTTCCGGATCCTTGTAGTACTTTGGTAGTAGTATTGTGGTCTTAGGAGCTGATGTGTCAGTGGAAATGAAAACAGCTAAACTGTGACAGCAAAATGTTAAGAATACATATTCTTACCCAAGGTGGCATGCTGTGGCTTTTACAGAAATGCAAGCGGAGATGACCACCTCAATTTTTAGAAGCACTCCTTTAATAAAAGTAGCAATGAAACCACCTTACTACACATGAATCTGTATTATTGGCAAATTGCTCTTAAAGTATCAAGAGTATTCTGCAGAACACATTGTTCCCCATCGGTGTTATACGCTTATAAGGTTGGTCTGAATTTAAATGCTTCATATGCTGTTTGAGCTACAGCAGGGGTCCCCAATCCCAGTCCAAGAGGGCTGGTTTCCTGCAGGTTTTAGATGTGTCCTTGATGCACCACAGCTGATTTAAATGGATAAATGACCTTCTCAACACGTCTTGAAGTTCTCCAGAGGCCTGGTAACGAACTAATCATGTGATTCAGGTGTGTTGACCCAGGGTGAGATCTAAAACCTGCAGGGACACCGGCCCTCGCGGACTGGGATTGGGGACCCCTGATCTACAGTAATGTATTATATTCTAAAATGATGATAAATGATAAAAACGAAGGTGTTGGCAAAACAGCTGATTAAACTATCTTCAGCTAAAAACCTTCTGCTAAAGTAGACAGTGAGTAATTTTTTTTGTAAATGTGTTTTTATATTTATATATATTAATTATTATATTGATGAATTAATTCATTACTGCCATTGTTTGTATTGGCAAAATTTAGTAGATTACATACCAATATATGTGGACAGCCCGTTCTCATTCCCGACGTGTAACATACCGACGATTAGTCGCGCTCCAAGGTGTCCCATAGACACGTGAAAGGTAACCTTCCGCATCCATTTGATACGCGCCGGATTGTGGATGATATCCAATAGAATGACGCTCCCGGTGTAATACACGTTCCAGCTGTGTATTCCAGCCATAACCCTAACCTTAATCCTAACCTCATCGTGTGTTTTCCAAAGAAGTTACAGTAAAATAAACATACACGTGTAGATTGATTCGAAATGGTTCTCATGTTTCCTCATTTTTCCGAACAAGTAACACAGGGACATGTTGGGTGGCCAAAAGCGTAACATACTGACGATTTGTCACCTAGTGTAACATTTGACACTTTGAGAGTGAGAACGTGTTGATGTGGATTCTTAATATGAAATTATAGTTTACATACAAATATCCTTATAGTCTGAAAATTACAGTACAAATATCCTGTCACATTTGATCTCTGTGAGGTCAGAGGTCAAATTTACAAATGAATACCTCTTATCTGTGACCTACTCCTACATAAGGTTTGTGTAATCAGAGTAAAACGTCTGTGCAATGTTTTAATACAATAGTTGCTACTAAAATCTTTGATTTGAAAAGAATGACAAACAAACACGTTCAGTCTAAGCTGAAAATGTATACATTTGTGTGACAATGAAAACACGCAGAATTCACAATATAATCTTTTTTGGATCTTTTTATTGATGAAAAATACATTTAGAGTGCCCAATACGATAAGTTGTGTATTAGATGGCACAAAACAAAACCCCAATAATTTGACAATTGCCTCTGAGCAAGCACTAGGCGACGGTGGGGAGTAAAAACTTCCTTTTAACAGGGAGAAAACTCCGGCAGAACCAGGCTCAGTGAGGAACGGCCATCTGCCTCGACCGGTCAAGGGTTTTTAAAATGACTCGATTAGATGTTAAATAAATTGAAACTGAAAATGCTACGTCCAGATGAAGAGAATCTACTTTTAGGGACTTACACAACACTAACCAAGTATTTTCTGCCTGCGATCCATACAGCATGACCCGCAGAGAGAAAGAAGCTTGGATGAAATGTTCACTTTCCAATACAGTGATGGCATGCTCCTTGAAAAGCTTTACAATTATCATCATCTGCATATTCATGGTCTAATTCCATGAATGTCAGTATGACATCTGGCTCTTTCCATTTCTGTATTAAAGAGCTGTAAACCATATCACTGTCATGGTTTGGCATGGCAAACCGTGGGGGGTGTGGGGAAGGAGGACCCAGGCGCGGTGCTCTATGTACAAGCAGTGCGTTTATTTACAGTGTGTGGAAATAACAACAATAAATGCCCGTGGTTTCCCCTGACTCCCGTGTCGTGTCTCTCAGTGACCAGTCCGTGTCTCAGCAGTCCTCATGCTGGCTGCTGTCTGGCGCTCCACACTTCTCCTGGGGACACAATAGACGCAGCCGTCAGGACACATAACCGCGGGCATACATACACTAACTCAGTTCAAATGGATGACTAACGTGGAGACTCACGCAATGATCCCGCGTCGGTGGGAGCTCCAAGACTCTCCTAAGTAGCTCCCCCGACGAGGCCTGATCAGCAGCAGGTGTGTGGCTTCGGGTGTGGCCAGACCGTCAGCAGGGCCACACCCACCAGGCCTGAAGGCGCCCACTGAAACACATATATACACACACACACACACGCAAACAGGGAGAAGGACAGCAACACCAAATATACATACAATAATAATAATATAATTCATAACTGCTCAGGGACCCTGACAATCAGTGATGAACATCACATTATCAACTTTGATCTTTTTAAGTCAGTAACATCAGTAAATGTTTTTCTTTACAGAATGTTTTCTGACGTAGCTCTTGGTAAATGGCCCTGTCGAGATCTTTCAGGTTTTTTTTATGTATATGCAGATCTTTGATCCTGTTGTCAGACAACACGTGTTTTTTGTTTTTTTTGTGTCCCGTTTGGATCTGTAGCCATCAGAATTGTTGTCTTAAGGCCAAGAAAGATGCCAAACGGATTTATTTTACCAAGTGGATCATCATGGCCTTGCCATATTGGTCCATTTGATTGACCTTCATTATAAACAACCAGATGCGATTCAAAGCTGCGCCACTGAAGACGACTCTGAATGTAGTGTCGTCCCTGGCGTAAACATTTTACGGAGCGACGAGGGGAAATCGAAGCACTGTGTGTGCTGCCCTCAGTCATGCAACCATCAACAGAATCCGGGGGATCCAGAGTCAGTTGATCTCCAGGAACCTCCGGTGTCAAAAGAACAGCTGCTCGTTAAAGAGCTAATAAATGCTGTTATTACACGTGCCTCCAAAGAGGCAAAGGTGTCGCCATCTGACATGATTCAGCAGCGCCTCTTCACAGCTCTGTGGGCACAAGTTGAGCAAAAACCTCTCAAAATCACACACAGGGGGATTAAAAAACTTGAAAAGGTGATTTTTAAAGACATCACAAAGCGGCTGGACATTAACCCTGATCTCGTGATCATTGCGCTAGCCGTAGGTCAGCCGTACCTAGAGGTGATCATTTCCATATTTGAAGATCACCTCTTCCGTAAAAAAAGCCTACTGGCAAGGTTCTTCTCCTGGTGCGTTAGAGCCGAGGATGACGAGGACGAACAAACTAAAGCCATTTCTCAAACACTTTTAGAAGAATTTAAAAGTAATATATTTCCAATAGTGGAGAAAAAATCATCATCTGGCACTACTGTCAGCGATTATGATGATGATGAAGAAGAATGTGTGAGCGCACTCATTGATGCTGTGCTCACACGGGCTGCGAAGAATTCGCACTACAAACCTTCTAAAGAAAAACTCCAACAGGTATCTGTTAACACGTGTTAATTATAATAAGTCAACAGCCATAGCAAGGCTATGATCCACTTGAAATATCCGTGGATCTTCCAACACCGTGCACAGATCCAAACGGGACCAAAAAAAAACAGT